TGCGTATAAAAATGTAGAAAATGCGGTGATTTCGTTTCTAACTTTAGTGTGTCTAGATCTCTGAATTGGTGATGTACTTTGGGTTTCTGTTGTTTCTAATAAATTTAAATTTGTGTATATTATAGCAAAAACTTCATTTGTGAATATTGAATTTGCTCTCTGTGAGTTATGGTATTGTATATTTTTAATATATTCTGTGAATACTTTTGGAAATTCGAGATCAAGATCATCTGTTTGAACAACGTATTTCTGTTTTCTGGTGTACAGATTCCTATAGTCACTACAGATACCGTATTGTTGTATTATTTTTGCGATATCTTTTATATAGTGATTTATTAGTTGTCTTCGTATTCTTACATCTGGAAATTCTGTTTTACATGGACTGATTCCTGGTTCAAATAGATTTATCAGTAAATTTTTAGAGAATTTTATTTGTCCTCTATCAGTATCTGAGTCTATAACAAAAGGGAATGCTTGTTCGTGATCTATGCTTTCTTCACTTTGAGTGTGGCTGCTCATTGTTACGTTTGATGACTGTTAATAGATAATTGTTAATGTGTCTGATTGGTTGACTCCAATTGTATAGATGTACTGGTTTATGCTTGTGTTTCTTTTTTATTCTATTTTTTCCTTTTTTCGATGAAATTGTATTTGTTTCTGAGTCGGAAAAATATACTGAATCCTGAATTGGATAAGACTGATTTATTGAATCTTCTACTTTGTATAGTGCGTCGAGACTACTGACTTCTGAGTTGGAAAATGCGTTTCGGTGTTTTGAAAATCTTTTTCGTGTTATCTGTCTTTGTTTTCTTTGAATTGTTCTTTTTAGTGATTGTCGTTTTGTGTGAATGAATTCAATTTTTTGTGTATGCGGGGTTATAACAAGATCGTATTTTTGATTTTCAATTTGACAATTGTGTATGACGATTGTTTGTTTATTTCCTAGATTTTTTAATGACATAAGGTTTAGGATGATGGGTGCAAGGTTGTTTGTAAGTGGTTTTAATTTCCTAGACTGTTAGTCCTTACGATTTTTTGGTTAGCCTAGCCTGGGTCTTTTTATTCAGGATTGGAGAGAAAAGTATATCGATTCCGGAGAATGATTTTTACTTTCTCGTGGCTAGTATAAGCTAAGGTGTTAACTTACTTAATCTTACTTAGGGGTAGTGATTGTGTTCAAGGGTTGGAGAATAGTAAATCGATCCACAAGGTTCAGGTATAATTAGAACGCGAGTAGTTCGTTAGGTACTATTTTAAACTTACTAAGTCTAAGATTATCCTGGGTCGTATAAGAGGAGGGGTCAAGTGAAGGATGAATAATCGAAGTTCTTCATTGGGAAGGTTGGAGAGTGAATCGACGTTTGAGGTCGTTAGACACTTGATAGGTGGGTGGGGGGAACAAAATTGTTCTTTTGATCCAAGGATAAGCCTTGATGATCAGAATTAAACTTTAGGATAGAAAATTAAATTAGATCCAAGGATAAGCCTTGATGATCTGGTTTAAGATTAAAAAGTTTTTAGGTTTAGTTTGTATAAAGTTTAAAAATTTTGGAATATTAATTTGTGACTTTTAGTTTTGATGAAGTTAGTTTATTTATGATGGCTGTTATGTTTAGGTGATGAAGCTGGAACAACAGGATAATTAATGCTTACTAACGATTTATTGTCATGCTACTAATTTTTGTTTTTATTTTGAATAAATTATTTTAAAATATGTTTTATATAGTACTGCAGTTGAAGAATTGATTAGTGATGTTTTTATCAATCGTTAATGAACATTAATAATTTATTTAACGCCTGGTAAATGCATTGAAGATTTTTCTTCAAGAACTTTATGTTTGCGAACGAAAATCTAAATTCATTGCCGGTATAATTCTAAATATAAAAGTTTGTTGTGGCTTTTGGCGTACGATCATGAAACTATTCGGTAAGTTTCTTCGTAATCGTATGTCGTCTCTTGTCCGAGGTCTGATTCCAATACGTCGTTGTTCTAGTATTGTTCGGAAGAGTGGTTTTGATCTATTGAGTCGTAGAGACCATTCAATTAAATTATTATCGTATAACATTTTGAAAATGTTTTTGTCTATTTTCTAATCTAATTTTTTCTAAGCTAATTTGTTTTTTAAGGTCTTGTTCGAGACTTATGGTCGCACCAGATGAGTTAGGTATGGGGGTCTAGCTCATAGAAAAATTTCGGATAGGGTACACCGTCTGCTCGTCACGCTATCTTATTTTCGGCCGGATAGATTCGTGCAACTTCTTAGTCTAATACCGATCCTAATCTTACTCTTATACTTTCTAGTCTCAGGGTGTTTAACTAGTCTCTGCTAGGCTCAATAGAATTAGGGTATACTGGTTTTTGTTGCGGCTGCTGAAGTTCTCTTGGAGAGGCAACTAATTTCTAAGTTAAATTCAAATCTCTCTGGTGCTGAAATTACAAGTAATTTCAGCACTTACAAATAAGTGGGTTGTTAGTTAAATGGATCATGATTGGTTAATATTAAATACTTTACAGTGGTAAAATATCTAATTTATCCAATCATAAAATATAGTTTAGATCAGGTTCCACCCATCCGGGTTTTACAGAGTTTTTTAGAATTATCTTTCTGCAATTCAAAGGATGGATGATGGACGTTGGTATTTGGCGAACATCGTACTCTTGTCCGGTTTCTCTTGTTAGAGAAGTTCCAGGACGCTGGAGTTAGGGACATCAATCGTTGTGTCTTCTTGTGACAACGACGGTGTCTCCCAATGAAATCAATCTGATTTCAGAATGGTTTGCTATGACGGGTTTTTCTGATTTATGTAGAGAACTTCTTTTGTGTTCGACCTCGTCTGGGAATGGTGTGGAGATTGTGCGTGGAGGGGATGCCTTGTAACTTGGATCTGTACTTATACTTGAACACCGAGGTGGTCATTGGTCTAGTTCAATGAAGTCCTTTTCTGCGAAATCAAGTCGTACTCTAAATCCTTTGAGTTGTGATTGTGGACGGCATATTAGTTGTGGTTGGCCATTCTTTTTCGAGTGTAGTGGGGTCATTTTGTCTTTGGATGTTCGTCTTTGTTGTTGTATGCTGATCTATATATTACATTTTATTACCAAAGTATAATTTACATTTTATAAAATTTTTATTAGTTCAGTGTTTTAATTATGATTTTGGTTAGTTGTTTTCACAAAAGCATTTTGTTTTAGTTTGGTTATTTTGAAGAGTTACTCACCCTTGAGTACCTCTTATTAAAAATAGAAGTGTGGTCACAAAGCGTGGATGTAGCGCGGTGGTTTAGGCCGGCTATAGAGCATGCTCAGGACGTCCTCTCTGGTGGGTTAGGCCAGGAGTGGGAGTATGACTGCATGCTGTTTCTGTGAGAGGTCCTGTTATGTGATAACGTTTTATGTTGGGTTTATGGTGGTCTTTCTTATGTTTAGTGCAACTTCTTAGTCTAATACCGATCCTAATCTTACTCTTATTACTACTAGTCTCAGGGTGTTTAACTAGTCTCTGCTAGGCTCAATAGATCTAGAGTATACTGGTATTGTTGCGGCTGCTGAAGTACTCGGAAGAGTCAACTATTTTCTAAGTTAAATTCAAATCTCTCTGGTGCTGAAATTACAAGTAATTTCAGCACTTACAAATAAGTGGGTAGTTAGTTAGATGGATTGTGATTGGTTAATATTAAATACTTTACAGTGATTAAATGTCGAAGTAATAAATAATAAAATGTAGTGTGGATTAGGTTCCACTGGGGACTATTTTAGCGATTTTAATCCAGATTGTGATAATTAGCGTGCGATCTAGACTACAGCGTAAGAGGCCAGTTGTATCAGCTCAAAGTGAACTGAGGCAAACAGTTCGCCTCTAATCATTACCACTTTTAAATTATAATACATAGTACTATACATAGTTTGTGGGGATAAAAATGAAGATAAAATTTTTTAATTGGAGAACTTCTATTATTTTTCAAATTTTTTCTAGGACTTTTTAAACTAAAAAACTTACTTCTGATCGACAATTTACGGCAATCGGCGCTTTGCCCTGATAAACAAGCAGTCTTGTTGGTATATTGAGACTTTTTTGAATTGGTAAAAAAAGTATAGTTCAACTTGTTCAAGTTGCAATTGCCAATGATTTTTTTGTGGCATGAAATTTGTGTTAGTATGTTGTCTTCGAAAAATTTGCGTTAATTTTCCGTCTTCGGAATGAGCACTGTGGATAAATAGAGTATCGATGGCTAAAACATATCTGCAAACTAGTTGTTTTTGGCTAAATTGGTAACTGGTGATTCACATAAGCTGAGGAAAACCGATTTCAGCTGAATTGGATATTCAATTTACCAAATTTTGAGCTCTTCCTGATTAGTTTAAACAAGAATGTAATTTATCCGTCATAAATTTAAACAAGATTGGCCGCATCAGGGTTGAATGTTACGACTACCTGTCTGTGGTTCCGTGTTTACTTTAAAAAATATTGATGTTTTTGTCAAAAAAAACAAAGAAGAAAGATCTATAAACTTTTGAAAACTTAACTGTTTTCAAAAGCAGGCTATTTGTCTTAACTGTTTATTTTTTCTGAAACTCATCCCACACAAGCCATATAAATTCTAAGTGCTAAATTTCAACCCTAGTAACGTAGCAATTAAGACAAATAGCCTGCTTCAAGCCAATATAGCAATCTTTGAAACCCCATAACTTTAAGAAGAACAATCGCAGGTGACAAATTCTTTAAATTTGAACTCAAGGCAACAATACCTTTCGAATGGTATAAAAAACGTCAAAAAGTGTTAGTAAAAATATCGAAATAAGTCTGAAGAAAAAAATCACCTCGAGCTGATATATGCCGTCCATTTCTTTCAAAGTTGGGACAATTAGTTAAGATAAAATTGATCTGAGAAAAAAATCTCAACGAATCATAAAAATTGGTTAATGTTCGTTTTCTGAAGTTTAAGGTTTAAAACCTTCGTTATATTAATTATAACAAAATCACCCAATGTTTTGTTTTTAGATTGATCAGCTGACGGAAGTAGTCGCTAAGATGTCCTCGGCTGGGTCAGTTATTCAAAGATTAAAAGCAAAAATTTGTTCTCTCCTGGCAGAATATAAACAGATTTTGAACACGGAGACGAAAGCTGCTGTTCGGGGGAAGAAGCGCGAAGAAATATCCAACGAATGTGCTGGTGCTGCACGTAGTTGTTTAGAACTATCAGCCGCTCTACCAGTTAATTATTTCGCTATTGACGCGCTAAATTTTGCGATGAAAGGATTCCATATGAACCCTTCCAACATAGAGTGCTGCGATATTTTGATCAAATTATTTGAAATGGAAATGGACGATTTAGCTAAAATGAAGTCCCAGTATTTAAACGATGACGAAGAAACTGTTCTCAAGCTACTTGTATCGAAAGATGTTAATGCATTTGAAATGCTTCAATAAGTCGTGGATCATTTACAATCATTTTTTAAATAATGTAATGTCATTTATCTAATATATTTAAAAGTGTGTTCTGTAAATAGACTGCTAACTAAACACGCCTGCTCATGCTAAGAAGTTTTAGTTTTCAGACAATTTAAGCGTTTAAAGTTGCTTCAGATAAACTTGATCTGGTAAACAAGTAGAAAAGTTTGTTGAACTACATGTATTGCAATGATTGCTGATACAGATTTAGATTTTTCTAACTGGAACAATTGTCCGGGAAAATTGCTTGCAATTGTCCGGGAATAAATCTATTTTTTCAAAATTTCTTCTAGTTTTATTTTTTTATAAATAAATCAATAGTAGCATGCTGAAGAAGTTTTGACAAATTCGTCGGCTTACTGACTTTCTAACTTTCTAATTGATGTACATATTACTCTGTCACTACATCTAATGATTATAATGAATTGTTTTCAAGTGAGGTTATATAAATCATTTGAAAGACTTTTGGTTTTCTTAGACTACTTGAGAAAGCGTTCGTTGCTTTGAAAAAAAAAATCAATAGACTGTTTTTGTTCCGACTTTTGTAACGAAAGTAATGGAGTGGGGTGGGTTTTTTCTTCACAAATTTTGACTTTTTAACTAGCCATTTTTGAAGGAAATTTAAAAAAAATAATTCAAAAAGTATTTTCGTCCTGCGCTTAAATTTGAAAAAATATTTTACTGTCATCATTTTTTGTAAAGTAATGGGGATTTAAAGATTGCCACTTTGGCCAATTTGGGATAGTTACCGCGCCATATTTTTTGCGCTATAAACGCGTCAGCGGAAATTTAATACGTCTTAGAAATCGTTCCAAGCTGGATGAAGGAAGCTTAATTGCCATAATTGATTTTTTACTACGAGAGAAATCTGTCACTAAAAATTTTATAGGACGTCTGGTGGGATGCTGTTCACAAAAAAACTGAATTGCAAAAAAGTGTTCAATTCATTTTGTTATATTTATTGTTTTCTTGTTATTACTGCTAAAAGGCAGTCGGAGTATTCAGGGCTTTGCCTCTGATACGAGCAGTCTTGCTTGTCTTGTTTTCAAGCGTATCAAAGAGAGAAAATTCAACTCGTGCTAGCTGCTCGAGGGTGAGTCATTATTACCCAGCCCAGAACAATAACTGAAAAAATTGGAAGTAGTTTTTAAATAGGGGCACAACAGCAGTTCTCCGTGAACCGCTGAACAGCTCCTATGTTAATATTTTCCCTGGTGGATAAATCGTCTATATATACTAGCTGTTAATGATTTTTCTTTTTGTACAAATGCTTGCGCCTGACCTCTTACCAAAGCTTTTTTCTTAGTTTTCGAGTGAATGGATTTTATTAGTTGCCTAGAAACAAAAACTTGCTGCGTTTATGGTTTTTCGGCGGTCTTATGAAATTTTAAAAAAACGAAAATTGAAAAAACTTTATCATCTGCATACGTAAACATCTCAGTAATTAGTCGAGAGCGGCTGGTTTTTCTTTTTTAAATATAAGATTTTAATAGTTGTGGCTACTGACTCTGAAATTGTGAACATCCGAATATTAGACCATCAAATTTGGACTTATGTCTCGAAACGTACGCTTTTTGATATTTTTCAAATTGAAAATTTCATCAAACTAGAAGTAGACCCTTCTAGCACATATGCTTCAGTAATTTGTAATAATTTCGATTTTCGACAGAAGCAGAAGTTTGTATTTTATTCAGATGCATCAACTTAAAACTGAGTGATTTTTCCAAGGATGTTTATTTTTATCAATCAACAATAAAAAGCATCTGTTATAATAGATTCGGATCTGAAACCGAATGGATTTTGTTTAGCAAGCTTTTTTCCGAAGTCTATTGTAGATCCTTTTTTCAAGGCGTTTACGAAAAAGTCGTAAAAAGTTATTGATCGGAAAATTTCGTGCAAATTGGTAGATCATCCGATCAGCCAATACAACCAACTTAAAATTTTTTGAAAAAGCAGTTTCGGAAATCCAATTATTACTATTTTTTATGGATTTTTTGAGAGCAAAAATGATCTAAGAGCTGTCTGGTCTCTACTAAACAAATCTATTTTCTGAAAAATCATCTGTTTGAGATGATTCAATGTTTCCATTCAATGTTTTCTTGCAAATGAAAAGATAATAAATAATTTGATGAAATTAAGAAAATATCAGATGGAGTTTTCAAAAATTTGACCTTAAAATCTGCCAGTTGTCGTTGATTAAGCGGCCTAACCAAAAAATCACTAGTTTCAAAAGATAATCAAGTTTCAAAAGGTAAAAATGCTATAAATTTTCAAAAAGTAAAAAAGATAGCTAGTTACAATGCAATTAGCATAGAATGATTCAACCACAGTCTAAAAAAATTTTGAGTAATTTTATTTTCAAATCAGTGTCAATTTTTTTTGAGTGGTAGAAAAAAATATGCACGAAAAATTAAAGTTAGGCAAGTTAAACATTCATAGTCAGATAGGCCAATTAGAAAACAGTTTTTTTTTGCGAAAACAGTCTAAGCAGATGAAAAAGAATCGAAAGTAAAATAAAAAAATTCACAACTTTTTTTAATTTTTAAAAGTTTTGTTATCAAAATGGCGCTAAAAAACTCCAATAAATACCTTGTTTGACTAAAACTAAGTTTTTGTGGTCTAAACTAATAATAATTGGCTATTGTAAGCCTACGCGCTAAATTTATTAACTCGAAATTAGATTAAAAATCAAAACTTATAACTTCAAACCGGATTTTTCCGGCACTGAGTAGTTTTTCGAAGTTTAAAAAATGTTTTCCGAATCATGACTGAAAGGCATTAAAACGATACTTTCCTCAACTCTTTCTTTTTTTTCTTTTTTTTCCACGCAAAATCAAGTTCCACATTCGATCATCGGAATGAGTTGAGAAATTTATGATTTTGAAGCCCGTTCAGTCATGATTCGGAAAATTTATTTAAACATTTTCAAAACTACTCAGTGCCAAACAAAACCAATTTTGGGAGTTTCATTTTGATTTTTAATTCATTTTTGAGCAGATAAATTGAGCGCGCATACCTACAATAGCTTCTCTAAGCTTAACTTAAAGCACGAAAACTTAGTTTGCATTTGAATCTTTATTTTTTCAATCCGAATGAATAAACTTATGAAATTGTTGAAAATTATCTTTGTCTCCTTATTTGAGGGATGTACGGGTTTTATAGAAAAGATTGATTCATTTTCTCTGAAAAAATGTGATATGGGCAGTTTTTTTGAGCTACTTTTATTCCGAATGAAGAGAGGTTGTTGTTGACAAGATATTTTGTTCCTGATCTTCTGTTAGGAAGAAGGAGCATCATTTATTGTACCATCCATTGGACCTGAAATTTTTCTGATGATCTTGTTTGCTGTGTCCGTGAGTTCGCATGAAACAACCTTGGTTTCTTGGTCCACTGGATGTCTTTTAACATAATAGTTTCCCAACTTCGAATAGCGTAGAACGTTTCTCTTTATGAAACTGACGGGACTGGCAGAATCTACTCGAATACTTACTCATAGCATTTCTTCATTTACTTTTCATCTTCACCATAAATAAATATAATGTTTAGTGCAGAGTAATTGTTGCTGCTTCTTCTTTGACATTAAATGTCTTCTGTTTTTATGTACAAATTTTCCGGATGTTTTAAATTTGCTTGGCATTTTCAGATGGTTGCCGATTCTGTTCTTGTCTGCAAGAGTTTTTTTGATACTTTTTCTCTGATGATCGTAGTTTTTCTGTTGTTCACGAAAATATCCCTTATCCATTTATCCTCTCCAAAAGATATGTCGCTGTTCTTTGCCATTTCTGCTAAGGTACCCCAAAATGTTCTAGAGTATCTTTTTTTTGTGTTTCCTGTTTAAGATTTTGTGTTTTTCAAAAGTAATGTTTGTATTTTCGACAAACGCGGTTGCGAGAACTTCCCAAAAATCTTTAAACCAATTCTGGATGAGCAAATGAGAACCTTTGCCTCGTGAATTTTTTTTTATAAAAACTCTTTTACCTCCTGATCCGAAGGCTGGATATAACAATGATCTCAGTTTCTTACCAGACTCGTCCGGACGGTTGTCGCTTTCAATTGTCGGTTTCGGTTGTAGAAATGAATTGTCTGTTTCGGTGCCCTCAAGTGCTTTTTCTAAGATAAACGATTTGTCGGAATTCTTTCCACTGGATTTAGCGAAAAATCTATGTCTTTATTCTCTTTATTTAATACTGCTAATTGAAAGAGATTTCTCCAATCTTCCCACGTAATTGAGGGGTCAATTGTGTGGTTCTGTCAGAATTTTGGAATGCATCTGACACTTGATTCACTATTGCTTGGCTGCATCATGATAAATATTCTATTGCTATAACTAACTCCATTTAAAAGAAATGAGGATAGCTTGAAATAGGTGAATTACTTTATCGTTAAAACACGAATTAAAAAGTCAGCTAGAAGGAAAATATTATGTTAAAGGTCAGACAAAAACCTGGAAAGAAAAGGATTAAAATGAAGTATAAAAAACATCAGATCACCGTTTATTAAATTCTTGAAAGTGGTTCCAATTCGTTACTAGACAACAACGGGAGAATTAGTGAAAAAGATCCGATAAGAATTACTTACCGTTACGACGATATTAGCTCGATTTAGTTAATTCAGTGGCTTTATTCTAAAATTACTAAACTTGGGAAGAATTTCTCATGATTGAATGATGGAAAAATAAATTCAGCAAATCAGAATTAAATATTCAAGAATCGAGAAGAAATTGGTTGCATTTCTATGAAAGTAATCAAACCCCGATTGATTAAATTGAATATTTAAAAAAAGAGCAAAGAACAGAATTGCAAGAAAAACCGCAGTTGGGCTGATACGTGAGCTAACCAGTCATGGCGAACTGCCTATAAAAACGCTAAAACGTCATTTTGTGCCGATTTCATAAGCCCTTCAACGAACAAATTTTTATGACTTAAGCAGCTCTTATATGTGTTTTTTAATTCCTCGGAAAATTTTCCATCTTTCGAACCTTCCGTCATCGAAACTGCCCCCCCCCCCCCCCCCCCCCCAAGTATAGGCGAGGAAAACAACGTGGCATTTAATCTTGATTTGGTTTTGATGGACTCTTGCGGAAAAAACTCATTTCGAGCACACTTTTAAGCATGCATGCATAACTATTAACAACAAACTCCCTCATAGAGTTTGTAAGAACCAATCACACTTTTGATGGCGTCTAAGCCAGCCAAAGATTAAGCCGGCTACGACATGACAACAGAATTTCTTGTATATAAGGTCGAAGGCCTGAATGTTTCGAAAGCACTTTTTCTCCATTTTATACACCGAGAAGTTTATGCAAATTTTAATTAGAGGGTTTTATCGATTTCTATCCTAATCAATACGACCAAATTACTTGCCTCAACTCAATTTTTAAAGGTTTAATCAGCCATTAACGCGTGCTATAAGAACGCAAAAATTTGCTGGTTAATTGTTATTAATTGGTCGAACTAGCAATTTTCAAACCCCCATAGTTTATTGAAAAATGATCATAGGTGAAAAAAATTAAGAGCTTGGGCTCCAGACAACAATATTTTTCAAATACTATAAATTTACAGTTAAAAAGTTGAAAGGTGACTGATAAAAAACCACCCAAGCATAAAAATGATAAAAAACCACGCATTTCCTTTGAAAGCTAAGCAAAATATAAGTTTGTACTTAATAGCACAAGGAATGATGATTCTCCAAAAACAAAAAATCAGAATGCAACAAAGTTCATTTTATTTTGAAAATTTGATCATTGCTGTTATTCGAACTCTACTTCAATGACGTTCAAGTTTTTCAGGGCAGTCGGACAATACAGGGCGTCGCTCTGAAACGAGAAGTCTTGATGTTGGGCGTTTGTGCAAGCAGAAAAAAAGGTCTTTCTGAAGTTTTCTGAGGATATATTTCCAAAATGGATCAAGCAAAAAAAGTATTTGAATAAAACTGATAAAGCCTCATTTCAGGTGCAATATCGATCCCGAAAAAAATCAGAGGTTTGACTCAACATTGTACTGGTCCGACAACTCATTCGGTTCGGCGAAAAAAGACAGCTAGGAAAACTATAAACCATTTCTTCAAACCTCAGAACTTAATCGTTTACTGAGAACTATCTGAATTGGATTGCGTCCTGAAAGTTGCCAATTTTAGTTAATGTGATTTAATGTGAATATGACTTATAATTGTGCAAATGTCTAAAACGTTGCAAATCTTTGGATTTTTAATCCTTTCTGAGTCTAAAATAAAGATACAAGACTTTATAAAAGTATTGCGGTGTATAAATGGTTCGTGCAATAGAACTAACGACAGCCTTAATATGTTTGAAGTAGAAACTGCCCTCCGATTTTCTATTTTCTACTATCTTGATCAGAGTGACATAGACAATAACTTTCAACTCAGAGGAGAGATTGCAATCTGCTGTTTGAACGCTAGCCAGTATAGTTGCGGGTTACCAGCCCAGCCGTAACCTGCGCACAATCATTGTGCGCAGGTTTCGGCTGGTCTATGATATAAAAACCAACAGACAGTTATATGACAGAATGTGCAAATAAGCCGAAAGTTAATCAAGTAACGTACGTTAATTAAAAATTGATCAGCTAGGTTAAAAATCTGAGTTTGCTGCAAGAAAAACTATGGCTATAGGGCTGAAAGAAACACTTAAAAGCTTCGTTTAGCTACGCCTAGTATCCAAAAGCGCACCCGAGAAAATCCACTTTTTTTCCTAAAAAACTATCACGATACGACCAAACACGTTCCAGTTGAACCGTACCACTGGTACTCTAGAATGAGCATGTAGACCGGAGCTGTGGCAAGTGGGTTCGATCCCGTACTCATGATGTAAAAACACCCAAGAGCGCCATAAAAACACTATGTAACAGTCGTTCACTCTCGTCACACATGAGGTTAAGAACAATAAGCCCTGTAACTATTGACTCAAGGGTCAGGGACTTTATCCAATGTGCTTTTGTACCACAGCCATCGAAGCGTTTCCTTTGCAAAAAAAAACGAAAAAAAAACTTATTGCAAAAAATATAGAAACGTTTTTTTTGAAATTGTTTTTTTGAAATTTTTTGCATTTTTTCTTGACATTAATTTTATATGAAAACTGTTGTCGATTATACCTAAATCACTACCTTGTGTTTGTGTAGTCCTCTCGTCAAATCAGTAATAAAAACACGACATTAAATTGACACGACATTAATAAAAAACACGACATGAAACTTTTTTTGCAATTATTAATGAATGTGATCGTAATATTCTGTGCTACTTGCACAGCAACCGACTAGCTTTGTTAATAGTTGCTTTTACTGGGACCCAACTATCATATTTGTACCCACGTCTCGTAAGTAGATTTCAAAAGAGGTGTTTATAAAAAAACACAGCAAGCTTTCCTGCTATATTTGATGACAAATCAGCGACTGTGATTGCAATTCAAGCTAAAAATGTGATATATTCTTTCCTGAAGAAAAGAATATAGCACGTTGACTATTAATATACTTGGAAGTCTTCTAGAATATTCTGTTCAATACAATTTTGGAGGTTCTCGGAGAGGCTCAATCGAATTTTGGAAAAGTCTCGGAGGAAACCGTTCAAAAAGACATCAAACTCTGGCCTTTCAAGGAGCTAAACAACAACAAAAAGAACAAAAAGCCACAAGTCGAAGTCGAGTACAAAGCCGAGATTGAACGATTCCACGCTTAGGAAATCAGCTCGATGGTGTTGATGAAGAGGAAAGAAACGGCCAAAGCAGCTTGCGATCAGCTGTGAAAGACGCAGTGATTACAGTTCCCGAGTACTTCAACGACGCTCAGAGAGCCGCGACCAAAGACACAGGAGCGTTTTTTGGCTGCACTGGTCTATGGCCACCGGGTCGAGATCCAGCTCGAAAACCGCTCAAGATTTGAACGGTTTGAGAGGTTTTCCAGCAAGATTTGAGCGGTTTTAGCAGTTTGGGCGGTTTGTTGGAAAAACCGCTCAAACCGCTCATCATGAAGCAAGATTTAAAGCGCAATCGTCTAAAAACCGCTCAAACTGCTTAAATCTTACTTCAAATTAGGTGAAAAATCTCGACTCGGGCAGGACAAGAAGGCGAATGTGAAAGAAATGTCCTGATTTTTGACTTGAGAGGAGAATTTTTGACGTTTGTATTCTCAAAATCCAAGACGGAATGCTTAAAGTAAAATCAACAGCCCGAGATATTTATTTGGAAGGAAAATATTTCGACATCCGACTTGTGAAACATCTGATTGAGGAGTTCAAACGTAAGCATAAACAGGATCCCTCTCAGAACAAAAGCTCTTTGAAGAGACTCAGAACAGCAGCTGAGAATGCCAGGAGAACCCTGTCATCCGCTGCCCCCATCGAGATTGACTCCTTGTACCAAGGAGTCGATTTCTACAGCAGCATCAGCCGGACTCGATTTGAAGACTTGTTCATCGATCTATTCCGGAGCACTTTGCAACCAGTGACAATAGCTCTTAAAGATGCTCATTGGAGCAAAAGTGACATTCACGAAGTGGCGTTGGTCGGAGGTTCAACGAGGATCCCGAAGATCAGGAACCTTCTCGACGTATTCTTCAATGGCAAACAGCTGAACTGCTCTATCATTCCAGATAAAGCAGTTGCCTATGGCGCTGCAGTTCAAGCTGCTGTTCTGGCGAAAGTCAAAGACAAAGCAATCAATGATGTTCATCTCGTCGACGTTGTACTTCTTTCGCTTGAAATCGAAACTGCCGGAGGCTTGATGACGAAACTTGATGAGATAAACACTAAAGTTCTAATCCGGCTAAGAACACTTTCACTACTTAAGCCGACAACCAGCCAGAAATCACGATTCAGGTTATTGAGGGAGAAAGAGCAATGACCAAGGATAAAAAAAATCTGTTGGGATCTTTCAACTTGCAAGGAGTCCCGCCTGCGCCTCGGGGAGTTACGAACGACCAAAATCGGCATCAGAACATCGATCGAATGGTTGCCGATGTCGAGAAGTTCAAAGCAGAAGACGACGCTTACCGAGCTCGATTTTCAGCCAAGAACGCCCTCTAGATTCATTGTGAAGAGCTATATATATTCAATGTGAAATCATCAGTCGAGGTTTCCGCAGTTGCTTATAAACTGGACGCCAAAGTCAAATTGTTGGTTTGCGATTTCATCAACGACACCGAGACTTGGCTGGAGAGAAATCAGTCGACAGAGAATGACGAGTTGGAAAAGAAGATGAAAGAAGTGCAGGACAAAGTGATGAGTAAATTGTACAGCGCCCGGGTCGAGATCCCGCTCAAAAACCGCTCAAGATATGGGCGGTTTGAGCGGTTTTCCAGCAAGACTTGAGCGGTTTGGGCGGTTTGAGCGGTTTTTTTTAGATAAACCGCTCAAAACCGTTCAAACCTTGCGCGGTTTTTGAGCGGTTTTTGTAGATAAACCGTTCAAAAACCGCTCAAACCGCTCATTTTGAAGCAAGATTTTGAGCGTAATTGTCTAAAAAAACCGCTCAAACCGCTCAAATCTTGCTTCAAATTAGGTGAAAAATCTCGACTCGGGTAGTCAAAAAGTCGAAATTTGTCTGGAGAAAAAGACCACCCGAGCACAGATATTCCGTCATTTTCATCGAAAGTCGGAAAAATAGTAATTAATAAATGAATTAAGTTGGTGTAAGAAGTTAAACTGTTAATAACTGGATTACATTAGGGTAAGAGGGGAAAAGTTTATTTCAGATGTGTAATGACTTCTTGAAGCCAATCGTTGAATATGCATGTTGGTTAGCATCTAACGACAATGATGTTTTTTAGCTCACTTGACAAGTTGAAAAAAAGAAGAAAGCAATTTTTCAAGCCTTCCTACTTAACTTCCTCTTGTAGCCAATATGTTTAACTTTTTAAAGATGTAGGTTTTCTAAGCTACATTAAAGATGTATGTTTTCTAAGCTACATTCTAAGCGACTGTTTTTTAAAACAACGCTCTGCGAGCCGAAAGCCGCCCTGCTTAAATAATCTGGATCTTGAAACCAATGTGTTACCATAAAATCTTTGTATTAACATTATATAATGCAATAAATTATTTCAGTTATCTTTTGCAGCTGTTTCGATACTTTCTGCAGTATTTAAATTTGGTTGCAGCAACTTCCTTTTTCGCGATTTATTAATTGTAAGTAGCGCAATTAAATTTTGGTCTTCTAATGAAAACTTGTGGTCAACAATTTCAAGCTTTAGAGCGTAATTTTTGGTATTCTTTTTTTTTCAAGGAAACTACTGATGGTCTGGCTCATTTACGCTACCTCTACCCTCGCTATATATGGGGGTTTAAGGGTGATTGCCCACCCCCTCAGGGATTTGCCACCTTGACGAAAAAAAATGTTACCACTCGGTACTATTTAAGACCAACGCTAATATGTTTCAAAAGGCACTTTAAGCGCCAATATACACTAATTTTGAGGGGCGAAAACACGAAAAACGCAATTTTTTAGTCAAAATTTTCAAAAAAGTGACTAAAAAACTAAAAAACACCTAGAATGTTTTGGCCAAAAAGGGTATCAATGATTTGGGAGAGCTCGGAGTTTCAATCATTTTGGTCGTCAACCTGAACGTCCTGCCCATTGAAAAGTAATAAAACGAAAAAAATAGTTCATGGAAAAAACGGTAATTGCAAAATAAAAAAACAAATAGTTTTCGACTCTTTTCCACTTCCGGCAAATTTGAACTTCAATTTTGAAAAACTACTTAAATGTTAAGAGAATGCAATGCATTTTGCATAGCGAATTAACTAACAATTCTGAACAGATTTGATCTTCATGATTTACATTGTAATATCACGCATTTAGCCGTTATAATTCGTAAAACGACTATGAAAATGAAAAGTTTGAAATATGGGTGGGGGGCACTTTTATCTTACTGATAACTAGCACATCAACCTCTGCTTTTTCTCCATATTATTTTGATGAAATAATTTTAGGTTTCACTTTAAGGTTTTGGTAAGTACGCAATTTCAGAAGCATAATACAATCACAGAAAGTTTTTAAACAACCAAACAAAATATGTGTTGTATTAATCTGCAGTTTGCTAGGGTACATGAAAATCAAACTCATTGAGTGTTTTTTGGAGAAAGAATTTAGGAAGCTCACTAATGATCTAAAAAATTTCAGTATCGGAGATCCAGAACAAGATGAAGACACTTTTTCAATTAGTGTTTGCCACAGTTTCTCTTTGTTTGTTGCTATTGATATGGAACTATCGACAGAGCAACTTTATTATCTGGGATACCCGCCGTGATTTGGTGGAATTGGAAAAATTCGAGAATTATTCTTCAAATTCCAATTTTATTGCGAAAAATTGTATATATCAGTTGAATACTTCTCAATGGATGGAAAAACCGATGTCAAATCCGAAGTTTTGTTTTCCGAGTGGCGATGTTTATATTCGAGACATCGTGGTCAAAGATGGTAACTTCGAAATCGATTTGCAAAAAATACTGTTCAACAACTACTTTGCTCTTTTTCCAGGTATGCTGTGCCTTTTTTTACCAGCTATTCAGTAAAAAATGGTAAGTCAAATCCTTCTTTTCAATCAAATAAAGAACCGCCTTTGTTCTGTAATGGCTGCCAGTATTTGCCAATGGCCCCTTTATACTAGTATGGTATTTAAGTACTATCCTTTTTCGCATATCAATTACAATTTTTTTTCAAAATCACTAAAAGAGCCATAAAATTTTTTTTCTAGGTGAACATTTGTGGTTCTGGGCATTTGTAATCGTCAAGTAAAAGGTGATGACTTCACGCATCCTAAAAGCGTTCAAAACCATACTAAAAAAATAAAATTTACACCAATTTTGAGAGAAAGGTTGGAAGCATCAAAAATATTATAATTTTTTATAGAGAAGCAAATAATCCCAAATGATGTTATTTATAATAACCTCATTTGGGACTTGACGGTTTGTATAAAATGACGGTTTACCAAAAGACGGCTTATAAAATGACGGTTTATGAAAAATATCATTATTCGATACAATGGTTATCAAAGCTTTTTCCAATTGATTGTATTCCTTTAGAAATCTAATTTGGAGATTATATTATGTCAACAAAAAGTTACTCCAGCCAATTGGAATCAAGATTTCAAAAATTTGAAAGAATATAGCAAAAAGTATGTCACATTCGAGCAATTTATTGGACGCTGACTGGCTGCGAGTTTTCACTGTTTTTCATATATCCAAAAAGAGCCATGTTCCATGTTAAGAACCCACATTGAATTTTCCTTGATACAAGTAACAACATCTAGCGTGCGCGTTTACGGGTCTTCTTAGCCCTTAAATTGACTTTTGTTTTGCCTAGAGTGAGCACTCAGATCAAGGCTGCACTGAAATTTTGAGAAATAAGACGGCTCATGATTTAGTTAGAAAGGACAAAAAGTTCAGAAAAGATAGAAAAAAAACGATAGAAAAGATGGTAAAAAAACAAAAAATTAGTAATGAAAACTTAAAAAATTGTATTTTGGTTTATCTTCCCAATTCTATGTCAAAAAAACATGGTAAATTTTGCAATTATTAGCGCAAATTGAGATCAATTAAGTACGCGGATGCAATATAGTAGGTACCTGCGCTACGCGTTAGAAGAAAATAGGAACGTTTCAAGCGATTTACTTTTGATGAAGTTACAAAATTTCAAACTTCAATCCCACATAGTTTTTGAAAAATGGTTACAAGAAAACACATTTTCAATTTTGAGCAACATTTTTTTCAGGCTGTACAACAAAATTCTGTCCAGATTTTATTGTTAACTATTCGAATTTCGTCTGGGAAAATCACCTGACTCTAAGTGAAATTATTTCGTTACTTTCTTAAAAAATTAGAATTTGAACTTCAGTAAATACTGTAGTTTTCTCGAAAAATTCAAAAATCAAATTTTGATATTTTTCTTTTGAAGTGAGATAGCTCTTAAAATTTTTCACATAAAAATATTAACTGACAACAAAGATGAGCAAAAAAAGTAACCAAAAAATGATAATTTCAACATCGGCGAAAACGCTTTCAAAAAGTGGCCATACTTACGTCTTACCTAATAATTTTTTGTTTGTGAAAACAAGTTTCAGTGTTTTTTGGCGAGTTTAAGTGGTCAATGACGGTATTTTGTGGGTACTAAAATTAACAAAAACATTATATGTTGGCTTATTTTGGCTCAAAACTGTCTTTGTTTAATTTCAAGGCAGGTATTTCTACTATGAAATAAATTGTTTGAATGGTTTTTCCTTGATAAACTATTTGGAAATCTTTTCATGAATGAAAAACAGTTATTTTTTATACTGGTTTAAAAGAATTGTTTTAATTCAAACATGTATTCAAATGTAATCGAAAGGCTGGTACGACAGATTTCACAAACTGTAATCATTTTTATGCGGACACCTTTTATTTTTTTCTCAAAAGCACCTTGATTCTCCGCATTGAAGTCGAAACATAAGTGGTTGAAACCCACACCCCCGTTGTCTGGGAATTGCTGCCGGAAAAAAAATCTCAGCCTAAAAAACCAAAGTTTTTGAATTTAGTTTTAAGCAAGGGCTTAGTACTGGTTCTCAGTTGAGAACTGAAAGTATCACAGATTTCATTGTAGATATATTCACCGTGTATGAATAAATGAAACATTTTGCGGGTTTGAAAAACAGTCTTTCAATTTAAAAATCCTTCTCACGCCATTAATATTTTCGTGTATTTAATAAAAAAATTTTAGATGCCTCCTTTCTGGATATTGGAGCTAACTCTGGAATATATACTGTATCCGCCGCTTTATTGGGACGCAAAGTATTTGCATTTGAGCCATTGCAACCGACGCTTAACGCACTCAAACACAACGTGATTATTAATAACTTAACTGACAAAGTATATATCTATAATTACGGTCTTCTTGACAAAGAAAAGTGTGTGACTTCAACGCTTCAACAAAATCTCGTCAATATTGGAGGATCGCGTCTTCTAGAAGATGAAAACTGTTCTAACCATAGTCAGATCAAAGTTTCAACACTTGACAGATTTTTGCCCACTTTGATACGAATGAACATCAATCAGCTCATAATCAAAATCGACATTGAAGAATCTGAGCCCTATGCAATATTGGGAGGAAAAAAGTTTTTCGAAACGGTTGATGTTCCAATCATACAAATGGAAATGCTTCATTTGAGCAATAAACTGAGATCAACAAACCCAATTGACAGGGAGAAAAAAGAAATCACGTGGAAATTTCTGCATTATTTGGACACAAAGTTCAAGCCGTTAACATTGGATAGCTCATTATTGAAGGTGCATGATGCTGACAAATGGAATTTTCTAAACATAGTGTGGGTTTCAAGAAGACAACAAACTGCTGCAATGTTTTTTTGACATATCTGTATCTGTATCTTTTTGACATATCTGTATCTGTATCTGTATCTGTATCTGTATCTGTACTTTTTTGACATATCTGTATCTGTATCTGTACGTAGTATCTACCCGGAGTAACCATCCCACAAAAATCCCCCTATCTTTAAATCTTTTTAAAATTTCTAGAAAATATCCGCTGTCTTAAACTTTTTTTTTACAAGAAACGTTCTAAGATTGCAACTTTTTCCCAAAAATCAATAAAACTAAAATTACTTTGAATATGTTTCCATAACGTAACAGATAAAATAATGTAACAGATATAAACAAACTTGGGAATTTTTTTTGTTTTTTTTTGTTTTATAATGTATGCATTTCGAATAAAAATTCTCAAAAAACGAAACATTTTTTTAGTTACATCCAATTCAGGGTTCAATAATTTTTGCAGACAATACTAAATCAATTTTTTATAATAATCTCACATAGCTTCGGACGTGCGTGTGGTATATGGGTTCATGTATATTTTGACAAAGTTTTTAAATTTATAAAGCTAGCAGATTATTCGGTCAACAAATGTTCCAAATCAAAAAGTTTGTTTACGAGTTTCAGTTATTATACTCTGCGACAGCAAATAGTTTCTAAAAAAGTTTTAAAAAATATAAAAGTTTGAAGGAAAACAATGTTTTTAATTTTGTAGAAAACGATCCTATTTTACAATTTTCCTGCAAGAAATAGTTCCTAATTGGTAACTCTCTTAGAGCCTAATTTGGTAAGATTTTTTAACAATCTTCTAAAAAAAAGTGAAGAATGCAAATTTTGGTCGACCCGGGTCTGAAAATATATAATTTTTACCTTGAAAACATCATCCAATCAGTTGAATGGCTTTAGACAGACAAGTTTATAGAAATTTTTAACTTCTAATGATTAAAAAAACGGACCAAAAAGCGCAATGTAAACGAATTCCGCAACAAGCTGCAAATGGCTTCTGTAGCGGAATCCGCAACAAAGATTATTTGACTTTTTCTATGTTGTGGAATCCATATACATATGTCTAAAACAATGTTGTGACCCAATGTTAACAAAAAAAGCTAAATATTACTTTGTGGATTCCGCGACAACTTGGACGGCTTTTTATACTTGCATTTTTGATCATAATAAAAAATTTTGGGTTCTTCACGCAGGAAACTGTGAATTCATTTTGGAACAATGTTAAGCGCGAAACAAATCAATACGCCTAAATAATGTGCATTTATGTTTAAATTTTCTATCGGTTTATTTATTCGTCTTTCGGTACAATTTTTTTGTTTCGAATTTCGATACGAAAGTAACGGAATATTTGTGCTCGGGGTGGGTTTTTTTTCTTCAGACAAATTTCGAACTTTTAACTAGCCATTTTGACGGATTTTTTTTTTCGGAAATATCACTTTGACGGGAATATCATTGGCAAGGTATTAATGCACTGAGCTTAAATTTGAAAGGATTTTTCACCCGTGATTATTTTTTGTGTAAAGTTACGGGGTTTTAAAGTTTGCCTTTTGGCCAATTTGGAACAATTAACGCGCGATATATTTCGCGCTATTAACGCGTTCGTAAGCGGAGAGTTAATCCGTCTTAGAAATCGTTCCAAACTGGTTGAAAGAAGCTTATTTGCCATAAGTGATTTGTTACAAGAAGCGAAATTTATCATTTTGTACTTTATTTGGTATGTGCGTGGATGATTTTTGATAAAAAAATTCTAATTTAATTTTTTTTTCATGTTGTTTTATTTAATTTTTTGATGCTAATACTGCTCCATAAAGCTTAAAAGGCAGTCAGAACATACAGGGCTTCACCCTGATACATGCAGTCTTGTTTCATTTATTAAAGAAAATATTTTGCATGCGAAGTTTATTATATTTATATATTAAATAGCTGAGCCTTTGTGACACAAGAGACCTTTTGTTGCAAATGTAGAGTCATAAAACAATTTAGGATAAAGAATAGAAATTGCGAAGCTTCAATGAAAAAAACTATGAGAAATGAATGATAAAAAACTTAGTTTTTGTTTAAGATTTATCAAAAAAAATGTTTGCCAGAATTTTGTGGGCGTTAAATAAATGATAAATTTCTACGTTTTGTAACAAAGTCAAAAATTAAGCCTCAATTGTTCTTCGTTTGGCATCATGACAAAGCAAATTCAAAGCCATTGTGGCTTTTGCACTGAAAAAGATTTCTTTCCATTTTTCTCTCAGCAGGTCAAAATCTGTAAAATATGAAGTTTTTTTGCTGAAATCTTTCATGTACCTTTTTATTTGATAAAAAATTATACTGAAAATACATGAAAATCAACGGAAAACTACTTTTTTCGAACATCAATTTTTTAGAAAAACGTTTTATGTCAAAAATAACGTATGTAAATCACTACAGCGTGTATTTCAATGGCACAATGTCATACAAGTTTTTTGGGATGTATTCACTTTTTGCAAACTGGTTTGTTGTTTGCTTTGCGAGACTTCTCAGCATTCAATTATTTTGCAATTGTATTCCTAGATAAATCTATGATCAGATATGCGGACCAAAAACTGTCTATACTTTCATCAATTCTGTGTCAACTTCTGATACAAGATTGAAGCGGGTTTTCATTATTTTAGCCAATACTTATCTGCAAAAGTGTTTGAAGCATTTGTCAGAAAAATTTTGAAAGTAACAATAATTTAAAGTAAACTGCAAAATTCAAATCTTATTACAAAACAAACTGATAAGATGAGACATAACAGACCCATTTCTTGTTTTGAAGCTACATATCAACATTATCCGGGGATGTTTGAAAATTTGATTCTCGATTGCATAATATTTAATATAATCTGAAAGATAAACGATTCCAAATTCAGTTATGTTCAAATATTATTAGAAAAACTGACCTTAACAAAAAAACTTGATCGTCGTATCTGACCAATGCTTCCACAGTCCTTATAATTTGCATAGCATTTTTGATGTTTCTCGAATTGATCGCAAAATCCATCTGGACTAGAGACAGTTCTCTTTTTTTGTTATTGCCAAAAATGCCTAAACTGTCAAAAATGTCTTTTTCTATTCTGGTCTCCGTTTCTGGTAAATTGATGTAACCATTTCCCAGGTTTTTGTGTTCATTTATTTTTTTTAAAATAATTAGCGGTTGAAATCATGAAAACCTTCTATAAACCTTAAAAACTCAGCATTTTGATTCAAAATTTTTCATTTTGTGTACACTTGTTGTGGTATTATTTGGCATATTGAGTTCGAGTAACATTGGCTCATAACAACTCTAACAATCGAAATGATAATAATTGATAAAATTAATAGTCCTCCAGTCGTGGTGCTTCTCGTATTTTTATATGAACATTTTGCTACTCCCGCAAAAAGAACAAAATTTGCAAATTATTAGTTTTTGCAGTTATCATTTTTTCAAATTTTTAAGTGTTCATCCAAATGTAGGTTTTTTGGTTCCTATGGGTTGGAACAATATCGTTGCTGTTGTGTCACTGTAAAAAGATTATCAAGTAGTTTTGATTATGCCAACTAATTGCAGCTTTGATCTGAATTATCTAGCGCTTACTGCTCGTATTGATTGCGACCAGTTTCTCTCAGTTTCTCCCTGTCAACAAAGTGATTTATAGTTTCTCATTTTGATAAAAATTGTTTGAATCTGCAGATATTTTTCGAGTCTTGAGCTAGCCAAAAAACTCATAAGGAAAAAATACTTCGACTCGAAAAAACTTCGACACTCTAAAGCTTTAAAAGTGATGCTATAGCCAAAAACTCCATAATGTCAAACAAAATCAACATCACCAAAAACGGAAGAATTGAAATTGTTTGCTTTTTTGATTAAGTTTGACTCAAATAAGTTTGTAAGGGATTATTTTTGACTCAAACCAACTTTAAGTCATAATTACTACTGTTATGGTTTTTTTTAAAAAAAACATAGTGCTTGGTTATCAAATTATCCTCTAATTTTAGTTTGGAGTCAACCAGTTAGTTTTGCAAGTTCCAAAAATTGGTTCAATATGTTAACTTCAAAGCAATCGTTTTTGTATTCACGTTTGTTTCGGTAATAGTTCTTGCACGGTTCATTGAGTTCATCAATGAGTTTTTCATTTTCTTTGATTGTTTTTTTCTAGAACTCAAAATTTCTGGTTTTGTTTTAAACTTACATTTCTGAGCCAAAAATTTAAGGTTGCCCACAGACTCAACGATCAGATCATTGTTTTAAAATGTAAATCATTGTTTTGCTACAATCTGTCTTTAATTATCAATCTGTTTTTAATCAGGGTAGGATTATCCTGTCCAGGTTGTAGTTTGCATCCTTTTTTATTTTTTTTTGTTAGAACGCAACTGAGTTCGAAAGCAAAATTTTCTAGTTGATTGAAAAGCTGATACCTTCAGAAATAAGAACATTCACAGTTTTTTTTTCATTTTCTATATAGATTCTTAGAGTAACAATGTCTTAATTGATCCTTCTTTCTGAGAATTTGTTCGTTGGCAAATTCTGGCTGGGTTTTTAAATATAGACACCAAAATTATTCAATTAAGTTGACAATTTTGTTCGTAGGGCTGATATGATGGTTCAAGACTAAAATATTAAAACTTCCAGTGTTAATTTAAGCTAGTTTTTCTGCATGTGCTTATTCTAAACCATGGCGTTTTTTCGGACAATTGTGTTTTTTCAAATGGCAATAAAACGAACGTTATTGGGGTGTTGCCCAGATTTTGACAAATGGTTTGTATCTTATAAAAGTTTTCGGCATTGAGATCGTTGAACTCGTTCGTGTACATGTCTATTGAACAGAAAAGACAAAAATGACCTTTGTTATGTTCCTTGTCTCCACTTATTAAGAGACAAGTAACTGAAAGGTTTCTCTGTGAAGATACAGGTAAAATATATTCGAAACAACTTATTCGCATGTTTTTGAGCAATGCAGCGAAAATTTTAAAGTTTGTTTTCAATTCCGATCTCCACTTTGTCTTGTGACGTTTCTGGTTGCTTTGCTCCATGTTAAATTTTTCTGTTTACATTGAACTGACATCAAGTCAATTTTAGTACACATCAAAAAAATCTTCGCAAATAAGGTTTAATTTCATGAATTTTGAAGTATTGATTACTTTTAGCTTCAACTTTTCAAAGCAATTTTAACTTTGCAGCAGAATCCAGCTTGTTGAATCATTAAAATTTTCAGTTGATTACATGTGTATCTAAGTTGAAAATTTGAAATTTAAAATCTTATGACTC